CCCTCCCTCCAATGCTCCTTGTTGGGTCCCCCCCTGAGATTTTTCTTTCAATTCTTTTGTGCTAATGTTTTTTTCTTATTATTATTTTCAGATCAGTGATGAGGAGCAGGGTTATGACTTGGACCTTTTCTGCATACCAAAGCACTATGCTGCTGACCTGGAGAGGGTCTATATCCCACATGGACTCATCTTGGACAGGTGGGTGGTCCCATTCATAGAGCTATGACTTGCCAGAGATTTCCTGCAAGTGGTGGATGAAAGTGCTCTGTTAAACCTGGATTCACTGATTAATGCAGACAAACTTACAGCAATCAGAAATATTTTAGAAACCTTTGCTTGCTGACACAAACTGAAAAGAAATGACAACTTCTGCTGACTGTTGCAGAACACTGAGGTCACTATCCTCTATTTCTTGCTCCCCAAACCGTGTGATATCAGGACTGAGAGGCTGGCCAGAGAGATCATGAAGGAAATGGGTGGACACCACATCGTGGCTCTCTGTGTGCTGAAAGGGGGCTACAAGTTTTTCGCAGACCTGCTCGACTACATCAAGGCTCTGAACAGGAACAGCGACCGCTCCATCCCAATGACGGTCGACTTCATACGCCTCAAGAGCTACTATGTAATTGATCCGTCTTATAGTTTTTCTTTAAATCACAAAGCCTCTTGGAACTTTTTTTTTCTTAGAGTATACACTTAAAAAAGTGGAAATAAACTAAAAAGTTTGGCTGATGATTAAAAGTTGCTTAAATTATAAAAGTAAAATGCAAAACAGCACAGTAGGGAAAGGATTTGGCAAATAAATGATGTTCGTATGAGGCCATGTCTCTCAGTCAGCCCACTGGGGATGCCTGGAAATATAAAGCCTGAACATCAATTAAATTATTAAAATAAAATAAATAAAAAATATGAAGTCTGTCTAGAGCAATGAAGAAACGGCATGAATGCAAAACAACCCATAAATGTTGTTTCTAATCATTTTCAGCCTCAGACTTTATGGTTTGACTTTGACCTTCTTGTTGCATCAGTCCATTTGTTTATGCACAGCTCTCTTAGGCTCCTGCCACAGCATTGCAGTCAGGTTGAGGTCTGCACTTTGACTGAGCCATTGATTTTTCTTTTTCAGCCATTCTGTTGTAGTTTTGCTGCTGTGCTTGGCATCATTGTCCCGTTGCATCATGCAAGCTTTAGCTGTCAGACAGTTGGGCTCATATTTGACTCTAGAATACTTTGGGGTACCGAAGAGTTCATGGCTGATTCAATGTAAGGTGTCCACGTCCTGTGGCTGCAAAACGAGCCTACATCATCACCCCTCCACTGATCTGGAGCCTTCCATTAAAGCCAAAACTCTCCGCTCTGGTCTTTTCTTTCCAAAGAAAATTGTTCCAGAAGTCTTGTGGTTTGTTCAGATGCCATTTTGGAAAGTTCAACCGTATTATCATGTTTTGTGAAGAGGCTTTTCAAAAACTTCTGTCTTTTTCAAACTTAAAGATTTAACATGTCAGCTGAGGGCTGTAGAGTCTGTGGAAGCGAGAAGGGTGTATCTGGTCTTTTGCACGACTCTGTGCCGCCCTGTGAAAGACTCTTTCTTGCCAGTCTGAAGGTTTCCTTTATTCTTTTCCTATGTTTGTCTGCACAGAATGACCAGTCGACGGGTGAAATCAAAGTAATCGGTGGAGACGACCTGTCTACTCTGACAGGCAAGGTAAAGACAGCTAGCTAAAACTCTACTGACATGATTAAAAATATTAAAGGCTGGTTTTACCCCCTTTACCTCAAGTTGCTAGCAGTCAGCATGAGCAGATATTTGAAAGAAATATATCCACATTTAAGCAAAGCCATTGTTTTCATGTAATCATTTCCTAAATGTCTTACATTAATTTAAAACAGGCCTGTTTATGTGGTTGTAAGTAAAACAGCTCCCACATAGTTACAGCCTTTTGCACTGTTGCAATCATTCCCTGTGTAATCAGGAGACCACAGCTCTCCTATTCAGCTCAGTTGCATTTTAAGATGACTTGTTTTTCACTTGATTAATGGCTTTTTCTTTTTTTTCTTGCACACAGAATGTCTTGATTGTGGAGGTACGTACTGATTTTCATCAGTATTAAAGTAGGCAGCTGTTATTTCCAGTAGTGCTTATCTGTGCTCCTCTTTTGTGCTTCTAGGATATTATCGACACAGGGAAGACGATGAAGACGCTATTGCAGCTCCTCAAACAGTACAATCCTAAAATGGTCAAAGTAGCGAGGTAATTCATGGCTTCACTGAACTGCTGGAGTTTTACTGGAACGCTGTTTCAGACTGGTATGTTTCAGGCTGAGGGGTTTTAAGCAGCTATAGCAGATTTTGATCGTCTTTTTGGTTTGTGTCTTCAGTTTGCTGGTGAAGAGAACACCAAGAAGTGTTGGCTACCGACCGGATTGTGAGTTGATTATTTGTAACTTGTGAATTCCTAACAGACTTTGGTTAAAGTTCAGCTCATAGAACAGTTTTTTAAACTGCAACAATGAAGATGTAAGAAAAGCTTCACTTGTTCTTTTCTTTTTCTCCCAGATGTAGGATTTGAGGTCCCTGACAAATTTGTGGTGGGTTATGCGCTAGACTACAACGAGTACTTTAGAGATCTAAACGTAAGTATTTGAAACAGATAAACAGTATCGTGCAAAAGTCTTGAGCCCTCTAATATTTCATTTCTTTTGCTTCCAAGCCTTTTAGACTTTATTGTAAGTTTTTAAAATGGTCTTGGGCCACAGTTCTCCAGGTTTTCTGAAGGTCTCTCAAAGATTTTCTTTAGACATTGGCTTCTTTTTCACTCATTTTCATTCCAGAGGTTGTCTTTAGACACTTTGTTACTAGCAGCCTGTCTCAAAAGGTATTCATTAACAGTTTGACCCAGTTTAACCAGCCATTTAACACTAACCTATGAATAAATCAAGCATAAAAATGCACCCAACTCAAGGGATGAACCAGTGCTGACTCTTCACATTGCAGGCAACTTGGCAAAGAACTGATTTTAAATTATATCTTTAGGGGAACCTGTCGCAGAAACACCTGACACATTTTACCTTACCAAACAAAACGGGAACAAAACAAATATCAGTTTTGTTCTTATATCAGTTTCAAGTCTTTGTCTTTTCCACTTGTCTTTATAATTTTCTTCATAACTTCCTCGGCCCTGTGCTCATACTGAGGCCGCTGGCTTGTGGCTGGCTCTGAGTTCTGGATGGTTTGAGCTTTAGGCACTTTGACTTTGTCAGATTCTTTAAAATGTCCACGTTCAGCTGGGTGATTTTAAATGTATTATTGGGTTTGTTATGAATTCTATTGATGCTTTTGTTTCAATTGATCTCACAGTGAAGAGCTTAAGCAACATATTAGCATGTGGCTGTAAGAGTGTGCACAACTATTTCCTAGCACCACTGTGTGGGCGTGTGTGTTGTACATACACGAAACAGATCATCTGGTAGTCAGATCTGACCGGCCTGTCAGGGTCAAGAACTGATTCCAGTTCCCAGGCAGTTCATCCATCTATCCATCCACTGTCCTTTTCAGGGTCGCGGGGGGTGTTGGAGCCTATCCCAGCTGTCATAGGGCGAGAGGCAGGGTACACCCTGGGCAGGTCGCCAGTCTGTTGCATGGCTAACACAGAGAGACAGACAACCATTCGTGCTCACATTCACTCCCGCATTCACACCTGTGGGCAATTTAGACTAATCAATTAACCTATCCCCACAAACTGCATGTCTTTGGACGGTGGGAGGAAGCCGGAGTGCCCGGAGGGAACCCACACAAACACGGGGAGAACAACTCCACACAGAAAGACTCCGGCCTGATGGTGGAATTGAACTCAGGACCTTCTTGCTGTGCGGCAACAGTGCTAACCACCGTGCTGCCCAGTTCCCAGGCAGTTGATCTGTTGATCTGTATATTGAAAAGGTCGCTCCGTGGCTCAGGGGGATGGGAACCTGTAACCGGAAGGTCACCGGTTTGATCCCCGGGCTCTCTGTCCTGGTCGTTGTGTCCTTGGGCAAGACACTCTACCCTACTGGTGATGGCCAGAGGGTCCGATGGCGCGATATGGCAGCCTCGCTTCTGTCAGTCTGCCCCAGGGCAGCTGTGGCTACAACTGTAGCTTGCCTCCACCAGTGTGTGAATGTGAGAGTGAATGAATAGTGGAATTGTAAAGCGCTTTGGGTGCCTTGAAAAGTGCTATATAAATCTAATCTATGGCTCAGGAGGATGGGAAACTGATGGACATTATTATGAACATAGAAAAGTAGTGTCAGATTTTGATCCAGTATATAATACCAAGAATGGCTTAACTTTTCAGCATAAGAACTCAGGCTGTGTGGAAGAACAAACGTGGTCATAACAAATATTGACTTTCAAGTTTGTTGCATTTGTACAAACTCTGTTTTTGCTCTCTGTATTGTAGTTCCATTTCTGTTTTCGTTTCTGTCAATCGCTACAGCCGTGTCCTAATTTCCTAGCAAAATATAAGAAGTGGCTTAAGACTTTTTCCTAGTACTGTAACTCATATTTTAAAACTCTTTCTCTTTATACATCTCTGACAGAATTAAGTGTATTTTTTCTTTTCTTTTCTGTTCCAGCATATCTGCGTCATTAGTGAAACAGGGAAGGAGAAGTACAAAGCATGAAGAGCACCTCGTAACAGTTTTCAACATTTGGTTATTTCATTTCCATTTAGCATTGATGTTATATTTCATTGCTTTGTATTGTGTCATGAGAATATAATCGGCTTACTCAGGGTCCCTGAGGATACACCCAATGTGATAATCCCGTGTTTGTGTTTGAATCACCACGCATGGACATGCAAAGGTTTAAATTTTTTGAATTCAATTGCTTGAGAAAGAATCACGTCTGGGTTTAATAGAATGGATCCCAGCTTCACCTCGAATTAGAATATTGCTTTTATGGTCCCCACTTTTATTCCTTTTTTATTTTTTAATTGCGAGCATTTTAAGGAAATGCTGCTAGCTTCAAGTGCAGTCGCGTAATTGTGCTGCCATAAGATTTACAACCTCCTCTTTCATATTTTGTATTTTGTGTAAAATGATTGTTATTATTATTATTATTATTATTAATAATATTATTATTTTGTGTTTGTGTAATTCTACCTGAAACTATTAAAATGTGCTTGTTTTGTTTTTTTATGGGACACCTTAAGAGGAAGTTAAATTTTATTGAAGTGTGTGTATATTTTGGAAGAATACTTCACTTTTCTACGGTACTGTGTTTTGTAACGCTGAAGAAACATTAGGTAGAAAAGTAAATTGCTGCTGTCCCTGATTAAATTATGTAGACATTGGTAAACCTGAGAAGAAATGTATGAAAATGAATGAAATCAAAGCTTTAGAGACATGCACTTCCTTTGTGTAACATAAAAGGTGATCCTTTTAACGCTGCAGATATTCAATCACAAATTGTTAATGGTTAAGAATCTTTCATTTGAATATTTGAAATTCCTAATCTGTATCTACATATGTTTTATTCACACATAATTTAATTAAAGGCCCCTTTTTAAAAAAATATCCTTTTTGTTTGCAGTTTCGCTAAATTGAATGTTCTGTAATCGTCAGTGTTGCAGCACCAGCCATTAAATTTTTCCACACCAAACCTGAAAGAAAGTTTTTCATTTTACTGTTACAGCAAGTTATCGATATATTGAAATTCGAAGTGCCAAAAAATATAAATAGTGACAGAGACAGAATGATGCTGCCAAGATTTGGTCTTCCATCTTTGCTCATTAAGATCATGAACATTTGAGCTCCTGTTGTCTGATCTTCATTTGGAAATTGAAGCTAACATTGGGGGATAATTATTTGGTCCCCTGATGATTTGTAAGATTTTTAAGTTTGCTCTCTTCTGTAATTTTATAGCAGTTGCATTTTAATGGAGAGAGACAGAATATTAACCAAATATCCAGAAAAAAACCAACACATTACCTAAAAGTCATACACTGGTTTCCATGTCACTGAGTGAAATAAGCATTTGATCCCTAAGCAAAAGATGACTCAGTATTTGGTGGAGAAACCCTTGTTGCCAAGCGCAGCAGTAAGACGCTTGCACACAGGAAGGATTTTGGTCCACTCCTCTTTACAGAAACTAAATCCTTTATATTTCTTGGCTGCTGCCTGGCAACTTGAAGCTTCAGCTCCCTCTGCAGATTTTCATTAGACTGAGGTCTGGAGACTGGATAGGCCACTTCATGACCATAATGTGCTTCTTCTTTAGCTACGTCTTTGTTGCCTCTGGCTTGTTTTTGGTCAGTGTTGCGCTGGAAGACCCATCCACGACCCATCTTCAGGTGTTGTGGCTGAGGGAAGAAGGACTTGGTCCAGGATTTAACGGTACATGTCTCTGTCCACTGGCCCCTCTTGTACTCTTACTAGAAAAACAACCCCAAAGCATCATGTTCCCACCTCCGTGCTTGACTGTGAGGATGGTGTTCTTTGGGTCAAACTCAGCATTTCTCTTCCTCCAAAACACAGTGGGACAAGTTGATGCCAAAGAGCTTGATTATGGTTTCATCTAAATGCAGCACTTTGTTCCAAACCTCTGAATCATTTAAATGTTCACTAGAAAGCTTAAAACCGACGTATACATGTGTCTTCTTGAGCAAGGGAACTGTGTGGGCACTGCAAGATTTCAGCACATTACTGCGTAGTGTGTTACCAACGGTTCTCTTGGTGTCTGTGGTCCCAACTGCCTTCAGATCATTAAGAAGCTCTTCCTGTGTAGTTTTGGGCCAATTCACCACCCTTCACATGATCATCTTGATCTTGGGAGCCCCAGATGAAGAGCGATATAGGGTCATGTGATACTTATTCAATTCTCAAATAATCTCACCAACAGTTATCACCTTCTCACTAAGACTTTATGGTGTTGTAGCCCATTCCAGCCTTGTACAGGTCTACAATCTTTTCCCTGACGTCCTTTGACAGTCTTGCCCATGATAGTGGAGAGACTTCAAACAATCAATCTTTAGGAGGCAGAATTCTTGCTTGGTTGGAGAACATCAAATACTTATTTGTGACATTGAGTGACATGCAACTCAATTCATAACTTGTTTGTTCATATTCTGTCTCTCGCCATTAAAATGAAAGGTCCCATCATAGCTGTCATGGGGCAAGAGATGGGGTATGCTCTGAAAATGTATCCAGTGCATCAAAGGACGAAGAGAAAGACATTTTACCTAGAGCAAACATGCATGTCTTTACATCGACGTAACTTTGTGCCGAACACTGTGGGAGGTCAAGATCTCTGCCTAAGTAAATAAATAAACCTGGGTAAATTCCCAGATCATTAAACATGCAACTATTTTGCTGGTAATACCTGAAATGAGTAAAGAAAATCAACAGCCTATTTATGTATTTATGCAAGATAATTCATCATTTTATTGAGGGGGTTATATTGGTTGGGTCTGATAAATTGGGGGGGGGGGGGTCATAACTCCCCTGGACATTACACCTCGGTGTCTTTAGACTGTGGGGGGAAGCCTACACAGGAAGGCTCCAGCTAACCAGCAACCTTCTTGCTCTGAGGCAAGAGTGCCAACCACTAATTAATAATTACTGTGGTTTTTAATTTGTGCTGTTGATGAAAAGCCACTCATGTTTGCAGATGCACCGCTCACATTTGTTTTCATACTGACTGGATGTTATTTTAATTCTAGGCACTAGATTATATTCCAGTTTCATGTGTCAAGCCTAATGGAAACTGTATGTTTCCTCTTACCTCAAACTGAGACTAATCTTAACCATAACCAGCTGTGTTTCATGATGCTTATCAAGACCCAGCCTTAAATTAACCACTTTTCTCTGCCTAGTTTGCCTTCTCACTGCAAGCTTCACTTTACTTATGACCACAAAACTGGCACCATAATATACATGGTTATCTGCTGGTAGTAACCCGTGAAAACAGTAAGGACAGTCCATCCTGTACAGGGCCTCTTGTCGTTGTCTCAAGACCTGTTGAGGTGTTTGTTTTGCAGTACATTTTTACTGCCGTAAAACCTTACTGAAATCTTTTAGCCATAATCATATTATAGATCTGAAAAAAGTGTCCTTACAGAAAACATTAAGACTATACTTCATAAATTGTATGCCATTCTTTTTCAATTAATCTTTAATGCTCACAAGGAAGGATATAAACAATATCCGGAGTAAGACAAACATAGCAGTCTCTGACAAACTATCGCGTCGTTAGCCGTCTTTGTGTGCCAGAGTAAATTTTGATTTCTTTGTGGAACTGGTGAATACCGGGGCTTGCCGTGAAATCGTTTGCATGTATGGAAATTGGAGGGGAACAAACGCACGGATGGAGCACAATACTTTCCGCCTGAGCACGCCGGCTAATGGAGCGCTTTTATTGGACAGGCCTGCTAACGCTAAAAAAGGGGGCGTGAACTTCGCTGCTAGCTTTTCGCTCTTGTGTGATCATCTGGGGGATCTGGTTCATTCTTGGCGGTGCCCAGCAGAAGCGTTTATTTTTTTGATAGTCTGTGGACAATATTTCAAGCTGACACGGATTAATTCGTCTTGCGTGCAGTTGTAGCTGCCGGGCTGATGGACAAAACGTGAAGTGAGACGGTGACCCGGCCTCTCTCTTTCTGAAAATGGCATTGTGGTTAACTTAGCTAGTTAGCTTATCGGGCTAGGTAGCTGGACTCTTGTTGTCGCTGAGCCAACTGGCTTCCATTAGCTAGCTGTGCGGTGTTAGCTACAGGGTAGGCTGATGAGCATCACTACATGTAGCTCGGCTATTTTAATGTCGTTTGTAGTAGACTGAAAGACGAGCGTTCAGTTGGTGGACAGAGCGACCATTTGGCTAGTTTAACTACGGCTAGCTCATTTAAGGCGCTAACATGCAGCGGTAGTTTGGATCCACTCGTCACAAACTGCTGCCTTGCACCAGCAGACCAACTATTAGTAGGCATTGTGCGGTGTGTATAGCCATGGCTCTCTAACAATCCATCAGGAAAGTTGGTGACCGGTTACAGACAGGGTTGATGAGGGGCAGCTTCGGTGAACACACGGCTGCTTTGTGGACTGGACGCCGTTATGGTACATGTACAGCGTTAGTTTGCTTCAGCACCGGAGTCACCCTGGGCACGGGGCCTTGCAGATTGCCGAGAGTTACCTACACTGTGTTGGCTTGTCTTAGGTGAGCTCAACTGCCTGTTTACTCATATTGCTTCAAGAACATGTAAAGTTTGCACAGGTTGAAGATCAGTAATGTAACTTTACTGAGTCGGTTCGCCATTTTAAGTTGCTGAATCGGTGAGGGGTGGTGGTGAAGCGTTGTTTAGCGAAATGAACAGCTCAGGAGTCATGCCACAAGAAAAGATGGAACTGGATCTGGAAATCCCAGCTTCCATAGTTCCAAGCGATGGACACCTGAGAAGATCCAACAGTGCACCCATGATAAATGGATTAAGGTAGGGAAATCTGACTTTAATTTACTGCAAAGTTAACTCTTTCCTTATTCACACATTGAAATAAGTTCATTTGCATTGACATGATGGTTAAAGGTGTTCATAATTCGTCTTTGCAGTGATAACTCCCAGGTGTTCCAGAAGGAGGTCCTACGGTGCCGGAGAAATAGCACTACAGTTGTGAACAGGCCCAACATGGTACAGTGGTTCATAAACACATACTGACTTGATTGAGATGCCTGAGTTACTGTGATGAGTGTTTACTCATTATCAGCCATGTCCTCCTTTTACAGGTTCCTTCATCGCCCATTCGGGTCCCGAGTACCAGACTTCATCAAATTAAACAAGTAAGGAATTGAGGTGGTTGCAGTAAAAGTAATTCCTGTGGAAGTTGAGCTCTTCAGACCAATGTCTACGTCGGCTGTAGTAAGAGACATGCAAGAGCAACCTCTTTAGGCATTCACAGGGTCCTTGATCTTAACAAGCTGATCAACTATTAGCATCACACTCCTGCAGGGCAAGTCTTGATTTCCATAAGAAAACACATGGGTGTTGGTGGTGGGGAGTGGTTCAGTTGTAGCATCTGAGATAAGACTGAGCCTGAAATGGGCTTGTTAATCTTGTACTGTGAACTGAAGCGCTTCTTCTTGGCCCCCATCAAAAAAAGATGTCTTTCTCTCTCTCTGCCATATTTAATAATATTTTAATAAGAGTACATATCATTTTTATCCAGGGGGAAAACGTAATGGGTCCACTTTAAAGAACATAACTCAGAAAAGTTCAAATGATGTGATGGTAGCTAATGTGATATTTTTTATTTTTTTTTTTAACCTTTGGGTCTCTTTTGTTCTCTTGTAGGAAGAGGGCATAGATGTGATGAACAGAGAAACCGCACATGAACGGTAAGCTATCCATTTATACACACAGTGTTTGAATGAGGAGATCTGCTGTGTTGTTGGTGACAGGCTGATGACTCCATGTTCTGATTGTTGTTGTGCACTCAGGGAAGTTCAAGCTGCTATGCAGATGAGCCATTCTTGGGAGGAAAGCCTTAGTCTGGTAAAAACTCTGTCCCATATATGTTGCTGATTATGTTCTGCTGACGGGCAGTTTTGCATGTTTTGGCTCCTGGCCTTTCTTGGTCTCTCTTTGTTACTATAGAGAGGACAAGTAGAAACAT